TCCAACATATTCTATAGATTTAGTTCAGGCATTTAAATATTTTTAAAAAATTTTTTACATTTATATCTAGCACCTCACTACAAGAGTAAACCACTTTATCGCGAGTTTTAGCCGATTTTTTTTATCTTATCCGACAGTTCCACAATAGTTCCAACGAATTCTATAGATTTTATAGTTCAGGCATCTAAATATTTTTAAAAAATTGTTTAAACAGATGTCTAGCACCTCACTACAAGAGTAAAGCACTTTATTACGAGTTTTAGTCGATTTTTTGGCGTTATCTAATAGTTTCATAATAGTTCCAACGAAATCTATAGAATTCGTTGGACCTATTGTGGAACTCCCGAAACACGCCAAAAAGTCAATTAGAACTCGCGATAAAGTAATACTTTACTCTTGTAGTGAGGTGCTAGACATAAATTTAAAAAATTATTAAAAAATATTTAAATGCCTGAACTATGAACAAAATCTATTGAATTTGTTGGAACTATTGTAGAACTGTCAGATAAGTTCAAAAAATCGGCTAGAACTCACGATAAGGTGATACTTTACTCTTGTAGTGAGGTGCTGGGAGGCTGATAAAAAAATTGTTAAAAAATACTTAAATGTTTGAACGATAAACGAAATCTATAGAATTCGTTGGAACTATTGTGGAACTGTCGAAAAATAAAAAGTCGATTAGAACTCGCGATAAAGTGGTACTTTACTCTTGTAGTGAGGTGCTAAACATTGCTTTAAAAAATTATTAAAAATATTTAAATGCTTGAACTATGACCGAAATCTATAGAATTCGTTGGAACTATTGTGGAACTGTCGGATAACATAAAAAAGTCGGCTAGAACTCGCGATAAAGTGATACTCTTGTAGTGAGGTGCCAGTGCTAAAGTTCAAAAAATTTTTTTAAATAGTTACAGGCCGGAACTCTTTCTAAAACCTATCAGGAACTATAAAACTCTTCGAGAACTATATAGAAATTCATCAGTAAAATTCATTTTTTTGAAATTTTTGGTGCCACGGGAAATTGACACCTCATATTTTCAAAGTGCTATTTTTTAACTAATTTAGTGGAACTATTGTTATAACGTATCAGGAACTGTAGAACTATTGCGGGTGCAAATGGAATTTGCATAAAAACCTGCGGTGCAGAAAGATGAGGTGCTAACTTCACACACGCTGCCATAGTGATAGCAAACGATTAAATATTAATATACACATTGGCGCGCGCGCGCGCGCACGCACACACACACACACACACACACACACACACACACACACACACAAATATGCATATGTGGGATCATTTAAAAGAATAAATTCACTCCTTACTCGAAATAAATCTAAATAAATTTTTATTTCTTATTCGAAGTAAACTGAACGGATAAATATTTAATCTCCAACAGTAGCCGAAACTATACATTGCGAATATAGCCGTACTATAAATGAACTTTTTTTATTTCTCATGAGTAGTTGAATGACTAATAAATATTTATTCGTTACTTACGAATAGCTGAATATTGAATAAATTTTTATTTGTTTCATTTAATGAAAAGATGTATTAGAAGTGTGATTTAGTTTTGAAGGTTTTGTAAAATAATGGCACTAATATCAGTATTGTCAAAGACATTCCAATTACAGCAACTGTTTCTTAATGCTTTAATATTACCTCATGATATTTAGTCACAATTACTAACAATAGACACAGTAAACATCGTGTTTATACCTTAAAAGTGTTTACATCTTAAAAGTGTAGGTTCGTAAACAGCATTTTCAACCTCATGTTGTATTATCAGTGAAGCAAACGCTATTACAGCTGAAATAAGAAGTCTTATCGTACCTCGCGTATTCTCCAGACATTGCTCCATCTGATTATCACTTGTTCCGATCGATGCAACATGCTCTAGAGGATACGCACATTCATAATTTCGAAGATTTGCGAAAATTTGAGAAAATTGGATCAAGGTAAATATACCGATGAAGGGAGGCTGCTCTAATGATCTTGCCCTTTATATATGTTGTCAAGGGCATGACCCCAAGTAACCTTCAGGTGGTTTTAGCCGTCGCTCGTTATTCGTTAAAAAGTTATTAATGAAAAAA